GGTTGCCTGTTGTTTAAAATTCACACTTTTTTCTGAATGAACATTTATTATCATACTTTTAAGTACAGTGGTACCTTGGGTTACAGACACTTCAGGTTACAGACGCTTCAGGTTACAGACTCTGCTAATGCAGAAATAGTACCTCGGGTTAAGAAATTTGCATCAGGATAAGAACAGAAATTGTGCGGTGGCGGCACGGCAGCAGCGGGAGGCCCCATTAGCTAAAGTGGTATCTCAGGTTAAGAATAGTTTCAGGTTAAGAACGGACCTTCAGAACGAATTAAGTTCGTAACTAGAGGTACCACTGTAATTGCCTCAGTTTAATTTGCCAATAAACTCTGAAAGGAAAACTGTGTTGTTGTTGTTGTTGTTGTTGTTGTTGTTGTTGTTGTTGTTGTTGTGTGTGTGTGCCTGCACCATTAACATTATTTGTAATGGAGCATGCAATCTTAAAACACTTTACAGTCATCATGAAATACCAGCAGATTGCCAAGCTGATACTTCTCAGCTGGAAAGATTGACCAAAGCAGTGGGGGGAATTATAGGACTCAAATTGGTTGTGATAGTTTTCTAAGTGCCACAATTAAAATGCAGTTTCTCATCCAGAAGTATTTAGGGCACATATATGTGACATATATTTCCCAAATATGCAACAAATACAAAGAGTGGTAAAACTGAATCAGGGAGCAATGTGATGCACAAGAAGCTGGCATAAAGCAAGCTGGTGTGAATTAAGATGGTGTAAAGTTATACTAGATTCAAACCCTGTTCAGCAGTAGCTGAACGACTGCTGCTGTTGTGCCTAAACTTAGTAGAGAGGAAACAAGCCTTTAAAACAGGGTTCTCTGCTGGGCTGCCAGGCCACATTACTGAGCTGAACAGGTTTAGGATCCAGCCTATGTCCCTCACCCACTGCCCCCCTGGTCCTGCTGCAAAATGACCCTTTTTGGGACTTACACCAGCTGTAAGGTAAAGGTAGAGGGACCCCTGACCATTAGGTCCAGTCAAGGCCGATTCTGGGATTGTGGTGCTCATCTCGTTTTACTGGCCAAGGGAGCCAGCGTACAGCTTCCGGGTCATGTGGCCAGCATGACTAAGCCACTTCTGGCGAACCAGAGCAGCGCACGGAAATGCCGTTTACCTTCCCGCCAGAGCAGTACCTATTTATCTACTTGCCTTTTGGTGTGCTTTCGAACTGCTAGGTTGGCAGAAGCAGGGACCGAGCAACGGGAGCTCACCCCATCGCAGGGATTCGTACCGCCGACCTTCTGATCAGCAAGTCCTAGGCTCTGTGGTTTAACCCACAGCACCACCCACGTCCCTACACCAGCTGTAGCTGAGCTGAAATGAATGAATTACATCAGCATATCTTCCTCTGAGCCAGTCTTGGGAACTTAATTCCAGCTGAGCCAGGAACGAGGCAGCTGTGTTGGAGATCTGTTGCATCCTAAATTGCGCATTCTAGTGGATCTTGCATAGTTCCCTTTACTAACTCAAGATGCAAAGGATTAAGATTTGAGATTAAAGAAACACACGTTTGCTTTAAGTACCCATGATGAGAGTCTAATTTAAAAATGCATGCAAGAATAAGAAGGAAAACAGCAGTTTAAAGATGTCCTGTATTTTGACCCTATACTTCATGGGCAAAAGCCAGAGTAAATCGACAACCCTTTGGTTCCCTTGTGTTCATTAGCACTTATCTTCTGTGTGGATCAGACTAGAGGGGTGCGCTAGTGTAATGGATTTGAATGGAGAACTCTGACATCCAACATTGTGCTCAGCCTTCGGCCTAACCTATCTCAGAGGGTTATTATGGGATTAAGTAGAATATAAGTTTCATATGCTAAAATGTGCTGAAGAAACAATGGCAATCCAGTCTAAGCTTGTGAGCAAGGCACAGCATTTTCCTACTGAGAGTTAGCAGGATTCAACGAAGACTTAGAAAATCCCAAATATATTAAACTGAATGCAATTGCTGTATTGCTGCTGTTTGTGAACCCAGAGTGAACTCCATTCTGAACAGATGTTTTGATCCTTAGTGGTGTATGTAGATAGTAATCTCTCTCTCTCTCTCTCTCTCTCTCTCTCTCTCTCTCTCACACACACACACACACACACACACACAGTTAGATATCTGTGTCTGAGTGTGTAAAACATGATTCACAACCAGCAACAGGAGCCCTTACCTTTTCTTAACCTCCAGTGAGGAAACATCTCCCACCAGGAATAGATACTGTGTTGTACACTGAAAGGAAGGAAGATGCACACGCAAAGCCTTATTTTTAAAGGTTTTGGAACTTATCCAATATTCAGGAAAAACGAAGCTGCTATGTCAAACCTGGTTTTTATTTAAAATGTGTGCCTAAACCTGGACCACATTCCATTCTCTTATTTTCATGATAGTGTCTGGCTGTCCCATCTGTTGTCTTCTATAGTCACATCTCCCAAATAGGCTCCTGTCCTCTTTGTAAAAAGGAAGCTTCATGTAGTTTGCTGCAAATGAACTGTGCATTACAGTGTGGCTGTAAAAACCACGTATAAACTACAAATTGTTAACAGATACCAAAGAGAGGGGTGATTTTGGACTTCTGGATTGGAGACTTTATTATCAGGCAGCATGCCTAGGATGGATTAAAGATTGGGTCATGATAGATAAAACAGAGATCTTAGATTTGGAAGGGTGGAACAATCACTTTGGCTGGCACACTTACCTAATTTATGATAAAGTGGCAGTAAATAGCGACTTTCTGAACCATATAATCAGGAAGTCTCTATATAAAGTATGGGCAAATTATCGATGGCTTTTAGAACCAAAGATACCATGGTGGGTATCCCCGTTAGTAGTACAGTGGTACCTTGGGTTAAGTACTTAATTCGTTCCGGAGGTCCGTTCTTAACCTGAAACTGTTTTTAACCTGAAGCACCACTTTAGCTAGTGGGGCCTCCTGCTGCTGCTGCACCACCGGAGCACGATTTCTGTTCTCATCCTGAAGCAAAGTTCTTAACCTGAAGCATTATTTCTGGGTTAGCGGAGTCTGTAACCTGAAGCGTATGTAACCTGAAGCGTATGTAACCTGAGGTACCACTGTACCGGTGGTAAAAAGAGTAAATATGGAGAAGGGCTGGCCAGCATACCAACAGTTATTAATAAAAGAACATGGTGATGTAAGAATAAGATCTTATGAAGAGGTTAAGAAGTACTGTAACAGTTGGTTACAATATCATCAGGTACTGCACATCTTTAACCAAGACAAAAAAATAGGATTTGAACAGAAAATATCAAAACTACAAAGTGAACTTCTGCAACCAAACAGGAAAACAACATCAAAAATGTACAGCTTACTCCTTGAATGGGAACTGAAAGATGAGGTAATAAAAGAATCAACGATAAAATGGTCACAAGACCTGGGCCAGACAATCCATTTAGATAGATGGGAAAGGTTATGGAAAACTGATATAAATTTTACAGCGTTCTACTCGATTAAGGAAAATATAATGAAGATGTTTTATCGTTGGTACCTTACCCCAGTAAAACTATCAAAGATGTATAAAAAACACTCAAATCTCTGTTGGAGATGTAAAACAGAGGTGGGGACAATGTGGTGGGGGTGTAAGGTGTTCAGGAGTTCACTTTCTAAAAAACTAGAGGCATTTCTGCTGGGCTTAGTATTGAGCGATATCCCCAGGATAAAAGGAATGTATTCCTTTATGCAACAGCTGTGGCCAGAATCTTAGTGGTGAAAAATTGGAAAACAGATAAAATACCAGAACTACTAGAATGGAGAGCCAAAATTTGCGAATTTGCGGAAATGGCAAAGTTAACAGCATCAATTAGAGGTTGTCCTAATCAAAAAATTTATAAAGAGTGGGAATGCATAAAGGTTTACATGAAAAGAGTTGGTTTTGGAGCTTAAAAATTAATATACAATAGCTTAAAGGGTGTAAGGAGATAGGATAATATCACAACAAAGATGGAACAACAAATATAAACAGTGGTTAATGCAACAACAACAAAATAACAGTATGTAAAAAAGAACGCACATGGTTGGAGGGAAGCAATGGGTCTTGGGGAAGAGAGATGAGGGCACTAATTGAAAAATTGTTAAAGATATATAGCATTTAAGAGATTGAGAATAAGGAATAAAAACAAGGAGACAAACATTAAAGAATATTAAAATAATGGAATCTGAGAAGAGATTAGTATAAATGAAAACATGAGACTCAAGGTTTTGCCATATATAATTTTATTTTGGATGTGAAGTCTTTTCTTGTAAAGATTATACACTAAATGAATAAAACAATAAAGTACCAAACTAAAAAGAAAAAGAAAGAAACATGAGCATCACAATATTGCAAAAGGAAGAACTGAGCATGGGTGGGTCAGTTGCTGTTTTAGAACAGGAGTCCTTGATTCAAAAATAGCAGAAGGTTAAAAATATATTTTATAGTTCTGACCAGAGGGTTTTATTTGTACCTAAGCACATCAGGTGTCAGTAAGTATATATTTGCCTCTTCAAATACCTGGACTTAGTGCACATGTTTACTGCATACAGAAATTATTCATATATATATCCAGCTGCTTTAGCCTTCTAAAGCTTTTTACTTCTGCGGATAATTCATATACTGCATGAATTATTATGATTACTGACTGGTGGTACATTATCCATGTGATAGAAGGGATTATTGGTTAGTATACAGAAAGCTACCTGTTGAAGGCAATACGGGTTGCCATATAGAAACATAAAATGCAAATTTGTGTTTTTTCAGAGGCTAATGTGAAAATTATGTAAACCTGATTTCCTGGAAATGAATATTCAGCTGGCAATGGCAATGAAATCCTGACAAGCTCCTACTGAGTGCTAAGCTGCTTTATTCACAGGTATAGTTTGCTGAGCTATGTGCCTAAGGCTGCAGTCCTGGGAGTAAGGCCCACTGAACGCAGTGGATCTTACTTCTGAGTAGATAAGCATTAGAGTGCACTATAGGACATAATGGGGAAAGGCCATAGCTTTGCGACAGAGCATCAGCTTTGCATGCAGAAGGTCCTTGGTTCAAATCCTGGCATCTCCAGGTAGGGCTGGGAACATCCGCCATCTGAAACCCTGGAGAGCTGCTGCCAGCCATTGTGGGCTAGGCTGAGCTAGATGGATCAGTGCTGAGCTATATGGGCCAATAGACTGGATCAGTATAAGGCAGCTTCCTAAAATAGCTTTACTAAAAGGAGCAGCCAACATGAGACAAACATGAGAGCCAGTGTGGTGTAGTGGTTAAGAGTGGTAGACTCATAATCTGGGGAACCGGGTTTGTGTCTCTGCTCCTCCACAAACAGCTGCTGGGTGGCCTTGGGTTAGTCACACTTCTCTGAAGTCTCTCAGCCCTACTCACCTCACAGAGTGTTTGTTGTGGGGGAGGAAGGGAAAGGAGAATGTTAGCCGCTTTGAGACTCCTTCGGGTAGTGATAAAGCAGGATATCAAATCCAAACTCTTCTTCTTCAAACCTCTACTGGGCCAGGCCAGAAATTTATCTAGTCTGGGGTTTCCCAAACTTGGGTCTCCAGAAGTTTTTGGACTACAGTTTCCACCATCCCTGACCACTGGCAGAGAAAGGGGGGTACGGTGGGGCCGTCTGCCCCGGGTGTCATCCCTGAGGGGAGTGACATCACCCCCCACTCCCCTGGGATGCTCGCCACAATTGGCACCCCCCTGGGACACTTGCCGCTGGCCACTGGTGGCACCCCCGTGGGCTGATAGTCCCACCCCCATGGGCGGCTAGCCCCGCCCTCGGGTGCACAGCATGTGCACAACATCCGGGTGCCAGAGCAGCTATCTCCGCCTCTGTCCCTGACAACTAGTTCTGCTAGCTAGGGATGAAGGGAATTGTAGTGCAATAACAGCTGGAGATACAAGTTTGGGAAACCCTGATCTAGTCCATTGTTCTGTTTTCAGCAGCCAACCAGATGTCTATGGGAAGCCCAACAAGCAGAACATGAGCACAGCAGTGCTCTACCAACCTGCAGTTCTCAGCAACCTTGAGTCCCTATGGAATTGCCATTTTGGTCCAGCAAAATGCACATGTTCCGCTTTTCTCTTCGTATTATCAATATTCATTCATTGTGGTACATTTTAAAATCTGGAAGTGTCTCTGAGTCATACTGCAGGATTTATTTTCTTTTCAAACAACCTTTGACCACCACCCCCGAAAAAGAAAACATTTCTAAAATATGTAGGTAGTCCTCTGCCATTTTTATTAGGATTCAACATTTGCTAGTATTGCTGGCCTCTGTTTTAACCATAAGGAATGAATAATATTGTTTATGTTTATTTTCCTAACAGGATTGCGTTTTGATGGCATTGTGGTCAGTCATGTTTTTAAATTAAAATAATTTGTTGCTGCAATGATGCCAAAAGCCTGGTTTAATTTTTCATTTTTTCATTCCCCCTACTTTGACATAAAAGCCTGACTGCATAACTCCACACAAGCTGAAATAGGAGCACTAATACTCTCAGATGGACCGTATTCCTGTCTTATGGTGAAATATGATGGTGGCGTAAGACATTGCATTGTAGGTTAACAATATGTTATGCTGTTATTTATATGCTCTTTTAAGATGGATTACTGATTATGATGTGAATACTAATTATTACTGCTTGATGTATGAATCCATGGACAAGCTCCTTTAGAAAAGGGATGGGGACTCCTTTTTTCCTGATGTGTGTTGCACTCCCTTGGGGACAATCTACTTAGGAGGGGTCCTATAGTGGTTGTGGGCAGGGCCAGATCCAAAGGTGTGCAGAGTTTGCAGGATTTCATCTCTCACTCTCTCTCTCTGCTTTCACCCATCTCTCCATCCATTTCCCCCTCTTTGCCAGAGATCTGAACTGACCACTGTTAATACTTGTACTAGTTACAAGTAGGTAGCTATGTTGGTCTGCTGTAGTCAAAATAATAATAATAATAATAATAATAATAATAATAATATTCCTTCCAGTAGCACCTTAGAGACCAACTAAGTTTGTTATTGGTATGAGCTTTCGTGTGCATGCACACATCTTCAGATACCACAAGACACAAGCATACTTGTACTGTATTTGTTAGAAAATGTATCTTACAAAAAACATAAATTGAGATATCAAGGGGGCCAAGGACATCTCCGCCCCCTAGAGTTGGCACACCTGGGTGAGGATGTGTGCGTTTTGGCCACGTTATGGTGGCATAGAGATGCAATCTATCACCCACTATGATCTGCTGCTTCTGGAGACTTTGGTTTTCTGTTGAATGTCTAGGTACTAGGTGGGCAGTCATCTGTACCATCTGGTAACTATCACAAAGTGACTGCCACATCAAAAATCCTGGTGGCTCAATGTAGCCAGGGTGGGAAGTGTGTGAGAGCTTTTTCCATTCCCTCTAACTGGTGGTAACCATCAATGGCCTTGTTCTTGTTGGATATTCTCTCTCTCTCTGTGTGTGAGAATCATTTGTTCCAGAAACAGAGAAGAAGTTTCAAGGAGCAGCAGAAGGCTGAGATTGCTTTGTCTATGCAAGGACATTTTCTGTGGGAACTGTTCTTTGGACATGCGCAGTGTGACAGGAAATACTGATAAAAATGGTTCTGTGTAACTTATAACTTGTTGTCTCTTGCTTGTGTCTTGCAGTGAGAGAAGCATAGAGAGTCTTGGACTCTTGTTGGACTCAAAGCATGCCTTGACCATGGCAGTGGTGAACGTCTGTATATATTTGCTACCAATATGCTTTTATGCCTGTCAAATAAACTTCTACACTTGACTGAATCATTATGGTGTCTATGAGTGTTTGTTGCCTACGGTGTGTACCTTCAACCCCAAAGATGCTTCCAAGGAAGGAGCTGTGTTGAGATGTAACTCTGCTGAGTATGGATACTGCCACACACACGGGCAGCAAAAGTGATGCCAGAACCCAATCCTTCTAAATCATCATCAGTTGATGGATTGATCCAACAGTTCTCCATTAATTTGTGTCCACCCCTTTACAAGTTATTCAAGTCACATCTTTTTGTCTGCCCAGATCTTCCAGCCTGGAGATGATATAGTTAATTTCTCCCTCTATTTTATTGGGCTTTTAAAACAACAAATAAACAAACAAACAAAGAGCCATTAGGACCAAAAAGAGAGAGCACCCCCTCATTCCTTCTCGATGTGAGTCAGTAGGGCCCCAGGTACAGCAGTGGTTCCACTGCTCATCTCCTCCCCACACACTTCGCATTGAACTGTTAATGTATTAAAGCCGTGTGTTTTAAATATAGCAGTAATGAATCACATATGCAGCTCAGACTATTAGCATAACAGGACAGCGATGGTGGTGGGGTGCTCTAAAGAAGTTAATTGTCTGACATGTGTTTCGGGTAGGTGTAAAAGATATTTGGGGAGCCTGTGCTAATAGAGAAAACTAATCCACTTCAAGACCTTGAGTGTGAGGTGATTCTATTCCTTCCTTTAGAAAGCCTCTATTCTTCTGTCAGGCTGGCACTGTAGAGCCGGTCACTCTCCATGCTGAGGGAATCTTTTCTGCTACGAATGTGGTTGTCTGACTATGATAAAGTGTGAATGATATTACCCTGTCACTCCTCTCCTCACATTCTCTTTATCAAGGCAGCTTTCTGCATCTCCCCTGGAGCAGAAAGAAAGCATTTCTCTTTGATTCCCCACTTTCTTTGTTTGTTTTTGTTCCATTTATTTTCATTTACACTCCCTCCTTCTCCGCCATAAGAAATGGAGTGCCAGGGGAGAGACAGAGGCATCAATTGTCTGCGGCTGTAGATAATTGAAAGGGTTCAGGTGGAAAGTCAACAGCACCCTAGAGGCTACAGTCAGGTGGTCTAATGGAAGCCCAAGCAGGGTAGTGGCGGATCTGCATTGCTCTTAAAGGGCTTTGTCATATATTTTTTCTTTGTTATGTTTTGTCCCCTTGCCAGACAAATGAGGACTGGCAGATTGGGGTGCATCTGGAAGTCTGGAGTGGCAGTAGAAGCTGCTCTAATTATTATCTTTGTCCACACCCTACCCCATCCCAACTATGAAGCACCTTGCAAATCGTGTCCTCCCTAAAAGAGGGCATGTGTTGCGGTGAGACCTGGAAACTGAACTCCTGGTTGTGGGTGGGTCTGTTGGATAGCCACAACACCCGATTGGTAGGCCCCTTGCTGCTGGGTATAATCTGGCCAAAGGGGTGCAAACGGATTGAGGGACCTATATAAACCCATGCATGTGACCCAGAGCTTCCTCTTTCTGCTTGTGCATTCGGAACACCTGCCCACTTCTCCCTAATTTTAGGGCATTTAGTTTGACCTTGCTATGCTGTTGTGTGTCGTTGGGACAGGGGCACAGCAGAAATTTTCCACACTTGGCTGATTGGCTGTTGCCATTTGGGTTTTGCCTGCTGCGCAGCAAATCATCACAACTTGTAAGGTTGCGGATAGGCTCTGGTTCAGGTGATAGGGATGGGAGAACGCTCTCGCCATCCCTATGTGAAGCGTATTCCGTTAAAGGAATCCAGGGACTCAAATTGGTTTGGTCAACCCCCGAGAGGGGGTTGTGCCCATGCCTGAGTCAAGGGGAGCATCTGGGGAGTGAACAGAGTCTGTTCCCAGGCTTTTCACCTGCCTCGGGTATTCACCCTTGGCTGACCTATGATAGAGCTCTGGGTCAGCGCTACCTGCAAGGGTGTAGGGAGCTGGTTGAACCAGAGCCTATGCAACCATTCACTTTTCTGTAATCAATAAAGTTGTGGCCTAAATTCTGCCAAAAACCAAAACTAAAATTTGAGTCAAATGTGTCTTTATTTAAGGGGGAGGTCTCTGGGTCTGAACACGCAAATAGGAAAGGCGATGAATTCCATGCAGGAGCGTAGTAGGGGGGTGCCAGGGGGTGGCCCCAGGCACACAATTTTTGAGGGGGTGTGAATCAGGTGCCCCCATGCAGACACCTCCAGCATGGTCCGGCCTAGTGCTCCTCATCATTGGTTTGTTTTTGTTTTATTATGTATTTTGTGTTCTCATTTTGTGTTCTTATGTCGTGAACTGCCCTTTGATCTTCAG